GTTGAAAAAAGAGCCTCTCCTCTTGATTTTCAGCAGTATAACGATTTTAAGTATGAGAAGACATGTTTATACGCACGTACGGCTAGTTCTTGAGTGAAAAGAAACAGCTTTTAAAGGAAAAGTAAACTCCAGATGTTTTTGTTGATTTCCGGCGGCCATATTGGTGGACCAAAGCGGTCCACCAATTCTTCGTTTTCACTGTCACGCAATAAACAAGGCACAAAAAAATACATTTGAAACCGTCCAGTGGAAGAAGCCAAGAAAATGAAATGTTATAAAAGACTAATATATAAACAATTTGCCCAAATCTCAGGTCTTTGTGGCCCACAGTTTCTGAGTTAGTGCCGAAACATTTCACGCACCTTTGTAGAGCTTTGTATGGAGACGCCATACTGGTGGACAGAAACTGTCCACCAATATGGCCGCCGGAAATCAACAAAAACATCTGGAGATCACTTTTTCTATAAAAGCTCCTCCTTTTCACTCGAGAACTAGCATACTTGCGCATAAACATATCTTCTAATACTTGAAATGGTTAAACTGCTGAAAATCAAGCGGAGAGACTTTTTTCAAGGAGATAGCATTCCTATTTTGGTGTCACGCACTGTGAAAACTCGGAAGTTCAAACTGCTGTATTTTCGAAATGAAACATGCTTCGGGGCTGGAAACTTGTACAAAGATTTATTTCCTATTAATCTTCAACCTAGTGTAAATAAGAATTCGTAAAACCCCGCTTTTTTGACTTTGCAATCTGATGACGTCACCGTGAAAACCATCAATATGGCGTCTCCATACAAAGCTCTACAAAGTTGCGTGAAACGTTTCGGCAAATAACTCACAAACTGTGGGCCACAAACACCCGAGACTTGGACAAATTGTTTATATATTAGTCTTTTATAACATTTCATCTTCTTGGCTTCCTCCACAGGATGGTTTCCAATTTATTTTTTCGTTGCGTGACAGTGAAAACGATCTATTAAATTCGTGACAGTATGCTAACGTGACTTAAGCGTGTGACCAATTTCCGGTCACACGCCAAAGGTCATACGATCTTGTGCGATGTTTATCATCAGCCGACGAACGATTGAAGTGATGAAAGGTTTTCAAAATCGAAGTCATTAGTTTGCGATGAATTTTCAATCTTTTGGCCTCCTGACTGAAGTAAAAACTCTTGCAACTCTTGCTTCTAAAGGACCGCAGTGACGTGTTATGACTTTATTTCGATTCACGGCCGGATTCTAACGCAGTCTCTGAGCAAACGTACGTTAGTCTTTTGGACCTTTTGGCTTAAAATTATGGATTTTGCGACTCAAACCGACGCAACAAAAGTTGGAAATAACTTTCCTTGCCGTAAAAACGTGTTACAAGCAATGGTGAGTAATCCTTTCATGTAAAACCTTTCTTTTAGTTTGACAACCGTCCGCAAGCCGTCTAATTTGCATAAATTTCCCAATTCAATTGCTCTCACCGCTTGCTTTGGTGTCAGGATGATATTTGATTTCCAGAGCTAAAACTTTCCAGTAAGTTAGTACAAACGCCAAGGTTCCATTTTATATTGATTTTATGAGCAAGCGGCATATACCAGAGGCCTTTTTTAATAGTCAAAGTTGGCCTTCGTTTTCTAGCATGTCTAACGTCACAAACATGACCTCTTTAGATTTGTCGATTATAAAAATACAAGACATTGTTTTTCAAATTTTCTTTTAAGGTTTTCAGGAGTAAGAACAAAATAATAATTCGGTGAAGTTTCAGTGTCAGGGAATGTTTCTTACGCTTTCACCCTTCTCTCGAAGTTGCCATTGCATCCTGCCGTGTTTTGTTCGAAAAACAGGAATAAAATCGATTTTTCAAACTTTTTTTAATTTTTCCTTTAAAATGAATCGTTTGCACCCAAAACTATTTTTCCTTAAATTAGGTCACTAAAAGGGATGTTTTGGCAAAATAATAAAAAATTCGATTTTTTGACGAGTGTCTTGCGATTCTCGATTTTCTCAGAAAATGGCTCTTAAGTGCCCAACCTCGAATAAGCGCCCACCACCTAGCATCCATCCAGAAAGCTGTATCTGCTTCTCGGGCACCTAACCCATTTGCCGGCTTTACGATGTCGGACATCCAGGAGGGAGCACCAGAGAACTCACTTACTGACTTCCCTAAAGACGGAGGTTTCTTCAGAGTAGTTTACAGAAACCTTGCTTTGATGTTGTTTTTTTGCAAAATAAACATTACTACAGTTGCTGAAAATGGTGAAAATTCAATAAACGCCCACTCTCAAGATCCAAAAATTTAATACGCGCTCAGGGCGGTTAATGGAATAAATACGGTACTCCTTTTTTATATTTGGGTCAAGATGACGAGATTGAATGGGGACCCTCCATGTAAGAACGCCTAATTTTGAGCTGAGACTGAGCCAAGACTGAACTTGCTTATTTTTGAGGCGATTGAGCCCCACAACGTTCTTAGATGTTTTTAAATTACATTTTGTAAACATTGTATGGACGACTTTTAATTTCCTCGTGTTTTGAGAGGCCAATAGTGACCTCGGGAGAGGCAACAGTGCACACAATGTTCAGCCAAACATGTACAGCCGTCTTTATAGCAATTTTTCTGTATTCCCCACGTTGAAATTGGAGGAATCGACAATGTTCTAGACTGAACTTCAGCCTTGGCTTTGCTCTGCTCTTAGGATATTCTTAAAAAGGTTTCTATTAAACAGGAGTAAGCGTGGCTTTGCACCAGGACGCCGAGGACTGATCAGCAATGTAATCAGTTTAGCCAGGAATTAACACAGGACCAGTTCATGAGCTTTGGCCCTGCTCTTTACTAGTAATTTCTACATGAAGCACACAAACGTTTCCCTCACTTTTTCGTTGGCAGAAGTACCTAGGATTCTTCTCCTAAAAAAGCGAGCTGCAGAATAAAACGCCAGTGGAATAAAGCATGCTGTACAGTCTCTAACGTCCTGTAAATCTATCCACGCTGCCTCGTTAAACCTTGGGACTAAGGGATCCGGATCCAGACCTTGAGATAAGGGGAGGAGGGCCCGGTCATCCAGACCCTTAGATCAGAGGGAGGCTCGGTCTCCAAAAACATTTTTTTCATTTTTTTATGGTGTTCAAGAACCTTACTTAACCTTACTTAAGCCTGTGGTTGTTTGTCTCTAGGAAAACCAAAATAAACCCAGTGGCGGATCCAGAGGGAGGGGACTTAATGACTTAAAATTAACGAAAATCTGGACAAAAGTATTTTATCACTTAACTCAAGAGACGAATGCTTCAAAGCTGAGCACTGCACTGTTAGAATATTACGTATCATGACAGCAAAGCTCTTCGCAGTAGAAAGGAATGTGTAACGATTTGGAATGATGTCCTAACGAAGTAAGTTATTAGGGAGCTTAAGCAACTACGACGACGACCACAACGACGACTTCAAAAAAACAATGGGTTTAATGATCAAAACAACAGTTCTGCACATCGCTCTTTTTAGTTCATTTCTTTGATGTCCACTGCGCGACTACGACGTGAAACCTCCTAATTCGCTGTTTTATGGAGGACGTGAACATACGAATTTTCTTTCCACTTTTTGAACCCGAATAAAATCCTTAAGAATTCAACCCCAGGAAAAGTGTCTAGCATTTGACATATTGAGCGGGTCCAAATAGACGCGATTAAGTTTGAAAGAACGCAAATTCATTTTTTTCACCGACGTTTACACTGCCATTGTCGTCGTCCTTGCTTAAGGTCCCTATTGGCTTCACCAATGTGCACAAGTTGGATCCCCGTTATTAAAATTTTCTGGATCCGCCCCTGAAATCAATCATAGAGTGGTGAGTGCATCCTTTCCCACTTTGCACTCCTTGCGCGCGTTCAGAAAAAATTGTAAGTTTTTGATATGTTTTTCCTTAGAGCTTTTTGAGTTCTTTGTGCCCGCCGTGATAACATAACAGATACAAGAGACAACTGAATGAAAAATGCTGACATTTTAAAAATCCCTTACATATTTGCGAGTGATATAACTCAGGGGCACTTAACGACTGTTTTATGTAAAATATCTGTTCGGAGAAGCAAATATTGACGAGAATTTTCTGTTTCTTGATGACGGCTAAAAATTTCTAGATGACCGTTCCATTTATGACAATTTTGGAAGCTTATCTCATTAATTCCCTACGATTTCCTGACGTTCAAGTTTCACATTTTACTTCCCAAGTTAGGCTATTTTTCGGATTCAAAAATGTGATGGAGAGAGGAATTAGAAAATGTGTCACTTTCGTAATACGTCGAATTTCATCTAAAATTTTCTGGAAAACAATACTCAAGCCCTTCGCGTAATTTCGAAAAGACTCAAGTTTCCCTAGGATGACCGAACAGATACAAATTTCACAGCGCCACTTAAAATGCTTTTAAACGGTGCTCTGGATAGTCTAAAAGTGTTTTTAATGTATTTAGGGGGAAACCGTCGTTGGGTGCCCCTGATAATTGTCTACTGAAAGGCAGATCATTACCAAGGTATATGAAAGATACTGGAATGTTCGATACGATATCAATATTGTCATTCTCAAGTATCGACACTTTTCAGGCAAATCTGGTTTGGTATCGGTACATCTTTCAAAATTACGTTTACCTTTTATTTTATAGCTGGCGAATCAGAGTGCTAGTAAAAAAAACACCATCTCTCTCATTGCTTCAATGAGGTTTTTCTATCACCATTATCTGATAATAGTAAGCTGCAACTCTGTTTCTCTTGGCGTGTTATCTATGCTGGTGCTACGATTAATGTTACCTGTCGTACCTACCCACAGAGACCGCAAAGTGAAAGAAGAAGGCTTGGTCCCCAGCGGGAGCGCACGGATAAGGGCGCAAGGGATGATGGGAAGTAAACAAGAGGGAAAACTGGATAGAAAGATGCGGAGGAGCTCAAATTGCGTTACATTAAAGTCATATCGTCATAAACAAACAAACAACAACAACGAAAAGCACAAAGTCAAAAGCTCAGGATACAGTTCTTTATGTGGTTGTTTCATAGAATACTTCGATATCTGTTGGCGTGAATGTGGAGTTTCCAACATAGAATGTACACTTTCGAGCAGATAAACGATACCCTGGTGGGAGAGGGTATTTCTTGCCACAATAAGTACAAGAATCCTGGTTACTAGCAGAGTTGTTTGATATGCGAATATCTTTCCAGCCAAATATTGGTCCATCTGAATCACACCTTCTTACAGCTTGATGGTAACTATCAGGCTTGACTCGCAGCTTAACAGGATTGTACACAGCGTGTCCAGAACCGTTGTTATTGGTCAAGGAGTAGATAAAGGCTTTCCTTGAATTTCCATACCGACAACCACCTGGGAGATAATGACGACATTCTACAATTCTTACTGACCTTACTAAAGGCGCTCATAAAAAAATTAACTTCTAGGAATATTCAATGATCCGGACTTCAGTTTAAAATAGTGAGTGCAAGTCCGGCTTGACATACAAACATTTCTAGACAACCCATGCATTACTGCACTGATATTTAAAAATTTGCTGTATTTGTATAAATTTTTCAATGTTCCTAAAAAAGTGTTGAGCCACACATCCATTTGTTGTCTTGATAAGTACAGTAATGACACTGTATTGACTTTGAAATTGGTGAGGGAGGAGAAAATTATTCTAGAAAATTAGGCAGTTTTAGCAGAGTAACAAACTTCTATGATGAGCAGAAAGGGAGCTCTCCCTAAACTGGAATCCCTCAGTGTTAGTAGAAAAGAGTAGGGTTTTTGTCCTGAAAAGAGATTTACGCAAACTAGAATCGTAACTGAATTCAGATCTATCGAATTATGACAGAGCCTGAAACCTACTTGAAGTCCATAAAATACAAATGACAGACGGTATCACCCATGCATCTAATACATTTTTTTTTCAACCTCCGCATGGCTGAACCACTTGATTCCGTGTTTCATTTAGCTTTTTTAAAAGCTAAAAATTACCTTTAAAAAGGTAATTTTGGTCATGAATGTTAATGGATGTGACTACAACATTAGCTTTTTACGATGGAAAAGTTTTCCTTTTTATCCTTGTGACTACCGTGACCCGGTGGGGGTAGTTCTTAAGCGACACTTTTCTTTATTAAAAAGAGTCCGCGGTACATAGTTAGAGAACTTTAAAGATTATTCAGTAAAATAAGGATGGCACCAGAGGCGTCCTCTCCTTTGGAGTGGTCCCTTAACGGGTTTTGGTAAGGAGAGAACGAAACCAGATTTTGCAAGATTTTGTTTATTGATGTTGTGATTTAAACCTGAAATCAACGATAAAAAAGTAAATTGACGTTTCGATGGTTTCATGTCATCATTATCAAAAGATATGAAATTAACATGATTCGTGGAAGTATATACAGTCCGGGCCACAACCAGATCTGGATATGTAATTTCCTGCAATCTGATTGGCTCAGAGCTCAACCAAAACATTGACTTGACCGCGAAAGGACTAAGCTCGACAGAAATGTCGAATAGGGAAACTTGGAACGCACCTTGAAGAAAAGTAACAGCAATACGGAGCCGATTAATCGAGATTATTTTATGCGTCATAGCGTTCGATTTACGAATATCGAGATGTTAATGATCGAGAACGCTTTCTGTAAACACCCGTGGATTTCTGATGTTTCAAGAGACCAGAAACAACTCGACGACTCAGATCGAATTGGAAGAATAGGGAATTTGAATACCGCGATACATTTTAAGCGGAAAGGTTTTGAGAAGTCCTGTTTGGAATTATTTCTGCGAGCACAGCTTCGACCTGGAGAAGTCTGTTCTATTCTACTTCAGGCGCAATACCATACGCCCTAAAATCTAATTTCGAATGATAATCTTAATGCTAATTATTCTTGCTGTATATAAATTTCCAGTATATTGAATCGTCACACATGTTGGAAATATGCGAAGGTCAAAGAAATAAATAAAATTTGTAGAAATTGCACTCGCGAAGAGTCGTAAGCAGTTATTAACGAACTTCTGTCTACGTGTTGCTTATTGCAAATTGCAAAACCCCATTGCGGATGAAAATAATGCAAGTGGACGTATTCGTGTTCTAATAGCTGTTAAATAGTCACTGAGAGGACGTAAACATAATTTGACAATTGTATTTTGAAAAACAGCTTTGACAAATGAAATAGATGTGCAGACTTTACTATTGTTTGTGTCAAAAAATTTAATAGAATGGTTTTTCACAAGACAAGAAAATATTATATATATTTATATCTATATTTTTAAAAAAAATTTGTTCCTTTAAATTATTGTTATTAAGGGGGTGCATCAGTTGAGACGACTGATGCGGTTCCAAATCTCAAAGGAAGGTGTCACATTGGGATGCAGGGCTAGTACAGCATCACAGTAGTTTTGTGGCATGAGAGATTTCATAATACCATGTGCCTACTACCTAGGATATAGTAGTTTTACGGTAGATAAAAATACCACGACTGTAATATGGGTTACAGACGGATACAATTCTAGTTTAGTCACATTTCCACTTAGTAGTGCAGTAGCAACATTCACTTTTATTGCACTAGCAATCATTTCCCTCCCTCCCTCCCTCCCTGTAAGGTTTTATTTTGTTCTATTCATGGACAGTGTGATCACTTTTATTATTTGATTGAGGTTGTTTTAACTCTTTTTTAGTTTGGTCTTTCTTATTTGTTGGAGCACTTTGTTTTTATACTTAATATTACCTTTTAGTTATTTACCATGTGTTGTGTTTTGTTATGATTAATAAAGGCTGTCTTGTATCCCAAACAATGCCTGGGTTTCTGAGTTTTGTTGATTTAGTGTAAAAACTATGTCATTATAGTAATATCCTGTCACTGTAGGTGGAATACATACACACTGAAAAACTTAGTGGGCACTAAGCCTCTATTATTATTAGATTATGTTTGTCCTGTATCATACAGTCAAACCCCTCTTTACGGACACCAGCTTAATGCGGACTCCCTGTTATTATGGGAAGTTTCCTTGGTCACTGGGGAAAACCCTTAATTTTTTCTCTTTATTCAACCCACTTAATACAGACTGACCTGTTAAAAGGGATAATGGACGTTTTTTTCTTCCTCAATGAACAGATTCTCATATAAAACCAACCTCGCTAATCTGCAGACTTTATAGTCCATTGTGTGCTGTAGTCAACCTCTTTTTTTGTAGGGTAAAAAAACCTTTCATTTAGTTGACGTCACATGTTCCCAGCATCATAGTACACCAAAATGAATGAATTGTGCACAACAATAATAGACCATTTTGACATCAATCGAGTTGGTAAATTTTACTTAATTTTTGATCTATTTTCTCGAGACTTCCGTGTGTTTTCATGGACACAGTCTGCAGAATAAGAGCTTAGTGATGTTTAAAGATGTTAGGTGTGATGCTGTAGTATTTCGATAAAAAAAGTGTATTTTTGACTAACAGGACTTGCTTGATATGGACACCTCCGTTATATAGACACTTCCTATGGCCCCTTCAGTGTCCATATCAATGGGGTTTGACTGTAATTATGAAATATGGAACAATTTTGTAAGATCGATCATTTGGTGTCCTGTTTAAAGTGTATTTTCAGCCATTCTTCCACATTTTCCACCTTATCATGGGGTTTAACCTAAGGCAAAGTATGGAAAAAGTAACAAATATTTAATAAATTAAAAAATTATATAAGCCATTCAATCGAAAATACAAAGTATAAAAGTAACAAATAAATAATAAATTAAAAAAATTATATAAGCAACATTTGCAGACTGCAGACCGCAGACTGCAGACTGCAGACTGCAGACTGCAGACTGCAGACTGCAGACCGCAGACTGCAGACTGCAGACCACAGATTGCAGATTGTAAATTAAAATACACCAAAAATCTTCCTAATAAAGGTGACACCATCAAAAATATAACATCGTGTGAAAGTGAGAAGGTAGCCTGGGAACAAGGTTGATATTTTTGCGCAAAGTTACATTGGTCTCATTTCGAAGATGCTGTTGGCTATTCTTCACCGACGCGACTCTTTATTGACTCATCCGGCATATCACTAATTGCGTTGATTCTTTATTCTTCTTTGATTATTGTGAATTGATAATAACAAGTAGCAATGCCCACTAATGCCTGCCTAAATAGTAGTCTTCTGTAAAAAAAAGTTTTTAGATTGCAAGCACTTCGTGCTCACTACAGTTACGTCAACGAAAACAACTAGGATATATCACGGACACTTAACACCTTTTAAATGACGTGTTTCATCTTAGCAGTTTTTAAGGATGTGCTAAATAATCTAAACCGAACAGATCCTACCTGGACTCGACGAATTACCGGAAGTGCATTTTGAATTTCTAAATAGGCAAATCGACAATGGCTTTTCGAACAGGCCAATCATTGCTCATACTCAAATCCTAGTACACAGGTGGGGCCCCCGTAGAATAAGGATTCTGGCGCTGTTTCACAGATAGACTTATATAACCAGAGTTTAGTTTCGTCTGTGTTGCAGGCTAAATTGCTAGCCTTTTGCTATGGATTCATGAGCGAGTTTGTGACATCGGCAGACATTATTCTGCTCTAATCCAATACAAGAAGAACAGCCAACAACTCCTTTAGGAATGAGGTCGGTGTAATTTGCATGAAAAATATAAACTTCGCTTCTAGGTCTTACATGTACTTCTCGGAACAAGGTAATTTTGATGATGATGCCACCTTTATTACGATACTTTTGGTTTCATTCAATTTACAGTCTTGCTGCCTCATGCAGTCTGCAGTCTGCAAATGTCATACACCGTTATTATATTGTCAGCATTGACACTTTAATTCAGTAATCGAAAATTATATAAGTGGGAAACTGGTTTGCACTGTTGCATACTGTCTCATGACAGTGATTAATCAACCATCATCATTTCAGTCAAGATTTTTGTATTCAAAGCTATCGTATTGCCTCCTACAATGTGGGCTCGCTTGGGGCTATTCTTGTTGTTTTCACTTTTCTGAACTCGTGACAAGGCAGTCATTTACAAGTAGAGTTTCAAATGTAATTTTCTATTGTTTAAACTTGAAGAAGCAGTTATCTTACTCGTATCACCATGTCATCAAGACCTTCGCATGATTCTGCAACTGATCTGAGAGTTTTCACCATGTTTGAAACTCTTTTAAATATTGAGGTTCTGCAGGCAATAGCAGTTTGAGGAGTGTTCCTTCCACACAAACAGTCTTATTCCTTGCTTTCTCCCTTCAGAGATTTCGGGGTCCAAGTTACCCGAATTTAAATGATAAACGACTCTCCTACAAGCCGAACACACTTTCTGTGGATGGATTTCTCTGGAGTCCAGCCCAATATCTACGCCAAAGAAGTTCAAAAGTTCCCTTCGAAACGCTGTTTTGTCTCAGTTCTGGACAGTTTTGACTTAAGAGAACGTTTTCCCACACAAACGGCATCTTCTTTGCAAAAAACCAAGGTGATTTTTCATCCGACTGCAAAATAACGTAAAATAAACATGGCGTTACAAAAACCCGCACGTTAACTGCGCAACTGACTTTTGCATCTTTAAAAGCACAGCACTATGTGAAACTGCTTTGCACTACACCAAACAGACCACTATCAACAAGCAAATTTTATGTAGATTTCAAAAAAATTTTTTCAAAGGTCCAAAAAATGACACTCACCTTCTCTTTTTCGATGTTTTGCTCCTTGTCGGGCATTTCTTTGAGCTGAAAAACTCTCGTGTTCGGTCGTTTTACCTCCCAAGAACGCACAAACGTTCATCGGACGGCATTTTTTCTTCACACCCCTGATTTCGCATTGTCTAAAGTCACAGCTCTCAAAGTAGTATGGGGAAAGGACACTTCTAGGCGCAGCAAAGAGCCAGGAAGTGACCTTCCCTCGTGTTTCTCGGCGTGGGCGCCATTTTGCAAATGTGGGTGACGTCATCATATATCCAGATCTGGTTGTGGCCCTGACTGATATATTATCTTTGATAACGATGACATGAAGACAAAATCTTCTTTTTATCATTGAGTGAATTTTTGTACACTCTTTTTTTTTAAAATGTATTTCAAAATCGATTCTTATAAGATTTAAACCTGACCGGGATAATTTAATTTAAATAGTGAATGGAAGAGAAAAACAAACTTCTGGTAGTTCATTTCAAAAACCTCAGTGATGTCATCATGAAAATGGCCAACTCTGATTGCTGAGGAATTACTTTCTCGCCTTGATTGTACGTAAACAGAAAAACATCAAGCCAAAAGCCGCTGTACTACTTTATCGTTCTTCATTGTTAGCAAGCAAAATAAACAATTCCTAATTCTCCTAGTACATGTACTCACCCGGTACGGGGCTTTTCCAGGTTACATCACTGTATCCACCAAATATAAAACTGCCGACTTGAATGATAGTTACAGTGGGTCCCTTGTCATCACAGTTGCCGTGGAACGTAGACGCCGCCCAGCCGTCCTCTTTAGCGTGCCAACACCTCACAAACCTACTACGGACTGAACTATTGATCACGGGCTCCAAAAACAACGTCAAATTCTCCAAGTACCTACTGTCGTTGCCAAGAATAGTTGATGCATTAAAACCACCTTAGAAAAGAAATCTTTGGTTCATGTCTTTGGTATGATCGCACGCGGAAAAGCGCATCAATCCAGCAAATTATGGCACTCATCGTAGCTGTGCACGGATAGTCGTGCTAAAGGTATATGAGACTCTCTATGGGCGAAGTCGCGAAATCGCTTTATGAAACGACAATCTTAGAGATTAAGCCCCCGTCCACACGTATCCGGATATTTTTTAATCCGCAACTTTTTCTTTGCGGATCCGGCTTCCGTTCACACGTATCCGGTGAATCCGGCATACGAATCCGCTACTTTCTGAATCCGCTCTCCAAAGAGGAAATTTTTGAATGAGTTATAAATCCGGAATCATGTGGACGCTCAGTCTAAATCACACTTACCCATCTCCTAACCGGTGGGGAGCGCTGGGAAGAGAGACACGACTGGTTAGGGGGTGGAGACGTATGACATTTCAGACTCTTTGAGTGGGCGCCAAGAGCCACTTTTGTGGGCGCCAAATCCGGATATTTCCTTACACTGTAACGTTTTGCCCAGTTCTTTACCGTGAATATTCAAGACGGTGCCCAGCGCAATATTATCGCTTCTTTACTTCTTGCACTTCAGTTTCAAGTCTTATAACGTTTGTGCAGGTAAACCTACAATCAGGGACAAAAGTAGTTGACACACTTGTCTAAAACGAGTGCTTTTATCAACATTTTCATACATTTATTATTTCATTCTATTTAAACGCCATAAATCCCCCACCCCACCCCCGAATCAATGTTGTTTGTAGATAAAGAAAGACTTCAGGGTCTAAAACATAACATTGGTTTTGGGGGAAGGGGGTGGGAGTACTCAGGGGAAGGGGATAGGTATGTCCACTGTTCAAAAGGGGGGCATTTTATAGACGTGTCTCAACACGTTTGTCTCTCAATGTAGCTATGATTACTGTACACTTCAATTATGGCAAACGGCGGTTTGACATTTTGAAGCTTCTTTCCATGTGGGACGGACGGATTGGACGCCGTAAACAAGTCAAACGAGCGAAATATAGTGCTTGATGGGACAATTTTATCAGTGAAACAGACTGGCGATAAAATTTTCGCTTGAGCCGAAGATCGCTTTATTACAAATTAGCTGACGAACTGAGAGTGAATCCGGTTTCGTGTGGACGGGCAAATTCGATTTGAATACGGATACGTGTGGACGTGGAAATTTTTGAATCTGCAAAGAAAAATTTGTGGATTAAAAAATATCCGCATACGTCTGGGCGGGGGCTAAAGCTACGATCGCATTGCCATTTCGATAAAGTTTGAGAACGTCACTCGTGCGACAATGGCAAGGAAATTTGCCAAAAAGTGTGCTGCACGTTCAGGCTTTTTTTTTCTGTTTATCACTCAAACCTGTTGCATGTTTCTTTTTATTTTCATGTTACCTTCGCCGTCATGGTGGTTGCTTGAGCTCCCCAGTAGGACCAGTAGCGTTACCATGCAGAACAACTATTAATATGCGACGACTTCGTTGAAAAGCTGACGATTTGATGAGAAAAGGGCGACGAAAACGACGTCCGCAGTTACTCGCCAATAGAGAGGATTGTATATGAAAACAGTTAAATTTATTATCATGCCATGCTTGCTACAATTCTTACTAAATACTACGGTTCATTTGCCTTCATGAATCCTCCAAGTGAACTTGAGCTCAGCGTTTAGGTTCCCCACCTCTTTTGCATATATGCAGTCACTAATCCAAAACTGCTCTACAGGTAGAAAGCCCGTAATCTTTCCCGGGTATATTACGAATCAACAGTTGCTCTAAGCCTCTATTTCCAAGCGAGCCTAAGTGCGATATGAAAATGATTTTTTATTCTCACGCAAAAAAAAGTGATTTTCACAAGAAAGATTTTGCACTCAGCCTCATTTTGAAAGTGATAATTCGGAGATGACCTATTTTTGTGAAAGGTTTGAACCCAGGGAATGACCCATTTTTATAATGACCAGCTCCCAGATGGCTTGCTTGCTCGATTGGTTAGAGCGCTGCACCGGTATCGCATAGGTCAAGAGTTTGAACCGATTCAAGCCCGGATTTTTTTCAGGCCTTTCTTGTCGCACCTGCATGAAGGGTGGACGCGTAATTTTCGCGCTCGTGTAAACGCACGTAAATTTTAGTCGCGTAAATAAAATAGAGACAAGGTACGAAGCCGTGTTGCACTTAAACGTGAAGTTGGGCGAGGTTCAACTTTTACTTTTACGCGCGATCCTTCATATATTGCCTCTCTTTTATTTGCGAATGTAATTAAATTTTTCTGCTCGAACGCACGTAAAAATTACGCGACAGTGGACATCCACCCTATAAAGGGCCTAAAGCAATTATTGCCTTCTCTAAACGTCATTAGGATCCAAGGCGCAGTACCAACTAATGACCGGTTTACATGGAGGTGGGGGACCACCCCACCTATCATGTAAATGACATCAAATTAAAATGAGAGATTATATGGACAGGCGGGTTACCCAACCTAAGCGGATCTCCTCATCTACCTGGGGTCCCCACCACCATGTAAACAAGCCCTAAGCCATCAATCCCCCATTCTCCTCCAACTTTCACTCGGATCATTTTATATTTCTGGGCTTAATGCTACACTCACGTGTTTTAATGCACTTTTTCCGATATCCATTATATGGTGGGTTACAAACACAGCGATAGGATCCCGGGATGTTTGTACAGTTTGCATTAGCGTCGCAGTCATGTAAGTTGTCAGCACATTCATCAACATCTGAAAAAACAAAATGCCAGAATTACACATAAACCTACCTCCTACATTGGAATCACAGAAATTTTAAAAAGATAAAGTTCAAGGAGCAGTTCAAAGACTGCTTCCGTAAGATCGTTGCGATCGAGCGCTTACTGCTGTAACAATTAAGTGATCATCTTCATGGTTTTAAGTGTAATAATAACTAGGGAAAGAGTATCAAAGGGAGCTATAAGCCCCGACTCTATAAAGGCGCGTCATAAAAAATTAATCGGAAAATGTTTGAAAATCTTTAAATAAGAATGACTGAGACCAGGTTATATGAGCCCGCGAGACTGAGCACCTCACCAGCACCTAAATTCTTGTTTTCTCTTAAACCGCTGGACGCCACAACCTGGTTAAGATCAATGTTATCTAAGGTCTTCCCAAATTTTTGCCTTCACAGATGCTCCCATTGCCTGTGTAGCCAGGCCTGCATGTGCAGTTGTAAGAGCCAGCTGCGTTTGTACAATTCGCATTTTTGTGACAATAATGGCTTCCCTTTTCGCATTCATCGATGTCTGAGTAAGGAAACGAAAAAAAGAAGAAATGAATATAAATTAAGTCTTATTATGACATTTATCAGCAAGTTTTACCATTACAAATGCTCCCATTGCCTTGGTAGCCAGGCCTGCACGTGCAGTTGTAAGAGCCAGGAATGTTGGTACAGTTGGCATTTATGTGACAATCATGGCTTCCATCCTTGCATTCATCAATTTCTGGAGGGAGTAGAAAATATTAAGTTACAAAGATAACATAACTATATACTTGCAGGAACAAGAAGTGAAGGCTTGGGTAGCTAATGACAAATGCTCCCATTTCCTGTGTAGCCAGGCCTGCACGTGCAGTATATGAGCCCTAACCTGAGATCAGGCCCAATTTGAGCGGTTCTCATACATTCTCTCTAACGGCTACCGCTGAAATTGGGCCTGATACAAACTATTACAAGTTTGTGCTCGTTACGGCCAGATTTTGGCCGTAACGCTGATTGGCTGTTAGAACAATGCCACAAGATCTGATTGGCTGTCGGAAACGCCGGAAGTTGAAAGCACTTATTCCTCGCGTGGTTGTTTTCGTGAATGATCCGTCGTCGGTGGAGAGAAGGATCGATTTTGCTGTCTTTTTATTGTTTTATGGTCTTATGGTACGAAAATATGCCTTAATATGTGCCATGGAAATGCAGAAAATTCATGTGGTTGTTCATATCTTCTCAGGATTTGCTTTATTTACGGAAAGAGAGTGTATCGCGGAGTTGAATCCCTCTGCAAGTTGTTGACCGCTAACAAGATGCATTTTGATTAACAGACAAAAGCTATTTTTTAAGTCAGCCAGTCTGCATTTTTCCCACGCAAGAAAAATTTGCATACTAGAAAAACAAGCAACGGAAGTAATTCTGATTGGCTGATTCGGTAAATGTCAATCAATCAAAAAAGTGGGCGGCAGACATTTCGTAGAAGGTTTGTATCAGGCTCTCTTTTCGTTTCGTCTTGCCCGCCGAAATGTAATTTTCAAAGCGAAACGAAAATAGAGCCTGATCTCAGGTTATATAAGCCCGGAATGTTGGTACAGTTCGCATTTACATCACACTGATGAGTTTTATCCTTGCATTCGTCCAGGTGTAATATAAAAAAAAAAAACAAGAAAACAAGCATAAATCCGGGGGGGGGAACCCCCTACAATGACCTATAGGGGGAAGCTCCGGCCGAATTGCGAAATGGGTACCTTTTCCAGGCTTCAGGTGTGGTTGAAGTATATGAGAGGGTAGAGAAATCTGTGTCATTTTAGTCTGTAAAAAGACCTAAAAGGGCTAACAGAAGGATTTTATGGCTGTGAAAAAGTCGAGACATTTTCCTGGTTTTCTGATTTATTCACAGTTTAACGACAGTGCATTTACGGCAGCTAAAAGTAATGTAAAGTTCCAAATTAGGTATTTGAAAGGGGTACCATTTGCCAATTAAAGGTACTGTGTAAGGGACGTCAGGGGTACCTTTTCTCTCAAAAGAAATATATAGAAAGGTAAGGAGCTTGACCTCAAGGCGGAGCTTTACAAGATAAAACTTTGCTGCGGAATTCCTCCTACCCCGGGGGCACAGATGTTTTCTATCCCAGACTGCAGGCATTCGCAAAAGAACTTCTTGTCCGTATATCCAAAAAAACACTTTTCATTGTTCAAGTCTGTAACAGGTGACCATCTTGGTTTTAAGTGTAAGAATAACTATGGAAAGAGTATCAAAGGGAGTACTACCAAAGGGAGCTATGAGTCCTGACTCTTTAAAGGCGCATCACAAAAATTAACCGGCAAATTTTTACCTTTACAAATGCTCCCATTGCCTGTGTGTCCAGGCCTGCATGTGCAGTTATAAGAGCCGAGTGTGTTTGTACAATTCGCATTCATGTGGCAATCATGGCTTCCCTTTTCGCATTCATCGATGTCTGAATAAGAAAAAGAAAAAAGAAATAAATATAAATTAAATCTGATCACGACACTTATCAGCAAGTTTTACTATTACAAATGCTCCCACTGCCTTGGTAGCCATGCCTGCATATGCAGTTGAAAGAACCAGGAATGTTGGTACAGGCCCTTGGAAGTAGTAAGCGCAAGAAAGCAGGGGACACCACCCGTTTTTTTTTCTTGCTCCCAAATACTTCCCTGCGCCTGCTACGCATATTTACTTCCATCCTTGCATTCATCAATTTCTGGAGGGAGTAAAATGTTAAGTTACTGAGAAAACTAAATTATTTGCAGAAAAATGAAGAGAAGGTTTGGATAGTTAATTATACCATTACAAATGCTCCCATTTCCTTGTAGCCAGGCCTGCACGTGCAGTTATATGAGCCAGGAATGTTGGTACAGTTCGCATTTTGTGACAATCGTGGCTTGCTTTTCGCATTCATCGATGTCTGAGTAATGGAAAAAAAAAAAACAAGAAATGAATATAAATAAGTCTTATTATGATATTTATCAGCAAGTTTTACCCAAATGCTCCCATTTCCTCTGTAGCCAGGCCTGCACGTGCAGTTATATGAGCCAGGAATGTTGGTACAGTTCGCATTTACGTCACACTGATGAGTTTTATCCTTGCATTCGTCCAGGTCTAAAAAAAAAAAAAAAGAAAACAATATCCGATCAATTAGCCACCAACCTCGTACATCGTATATAAACCATTGCCGACATTCAACGCAAGAAAATAATCAAGTTTGTAGCATGCTGATTGCTTAAGGGAAGACTGATTGTTTCACTCATTGCGAGAAGAGCAACATAAATCCCGGGGGGTACCCCCTATAATGGCTTATGCGGGGAAGCTTCGCCCGAATTGCGAAAGGGGTACCTTTTCCAGACCTCAGGTGTATGAAAGGGTTAGGATTTCAATAGTTGAAGTATATGAGAGGGTAGAGAAATCTGTGTCATTTCGGTCTGTAAAAGGACCTAAAAGAGCCAACAGAAGGATTTTATGGCTGTGAAAAAGTCGAGAAAATTTCCTGGCCAGTTTTGTGATTTGTTCACAGTTTAAAGACAGTACATTTACAGCAGCTAAAAGTAATGAAAAGTTCTAAACGAGGTATTTGAAAGAGGTACCATTTGTCAATGGAAGGTACTGGGTAAGGGAGGGGTACCTTTTCTCTCAAAAAATATTATATAGGAGGGTAAGGAGCTGGACCTCAAGGTAACCTGAGATCAGGCCTAATTTTAGCGGTTCTCATACATTCTCTCTAACGGCTACCGCTTTTCGTTTCGCCTCGCCCGCCGGAATATTATTTTCAAAGTGAAACGAATATAGAGCCTGATCTCAGGTTAACCTAGAGGGGGAGCTATCCAGGATAAAACTTTGCTGCGGAACCCCCCTCCGGGTGGGGGGGCACAGATGATTTTTAAACCCTGACAACGTTGATTATTTCTTATTAAGCAACATTCACTTGTTCTCTATTCCTGGGTAGGATACACTTTCGTTTTGTTAACCATCTCGAAGCAACGGGCCACGGTGAGTTTCTAGTTTACTAGCTGGCGATTCCGTGTATGAGAGACGTAGATGTAGACGTATTTCCAGTTTGTTTCTGCCCGAAAAGTATTCTTTGTGGCGCAGTCAAGCAAAAACAGGACTGAATATGTCTGCGTTTGCTGGCCACATAATTACCTGTTTCGCAGAGTTCTCCCGTGTAACCAGACTGGCATTCGCAAAGAAACCCCTTATCCGTATATCCAAGGAAACACTTTGCATTGTTCAAGCAAGGTTTGTAGGCACAAATATTCTAGTGAAAATGAAAGGGTAATTTAGATTTCATTAAATTTTAATATTATATTGTAGACTTCGAGCAGTTCCCTTTTCAGTCTGTCAAATCGAGACTTAGCAGAGCTCGAGAGAGCGAATCAATCGAGAAGGAGGGTCTGAATGGGGTTTAATGTTTGGTGTTATTTGCCCATAATTTTGAGTGTTTGCTGTTAAATTAGCCAATTTTTTAATGTTTACTGTTTCCGAAGAAATACTGTCAAGTGTTTGGAGGGTTCATCGGACATCTTCGGCAATGATCGGACCTCTTCGTTAGTCTTCGGAAATCTTCTGAAATAATCAGGAATTGTCGTAAAATGGCCAAAAACTCCTTGATATCCTAAAAATAATATTGGCCTTTTTGGAGCCGTTTTTGCTTCTATCTGGGAAAAAAATTAGTTTCAAAGAATCTTTATTGTTAGTGTTAAATGCCTAAAAATTTAACCATTTCATGTTACAAAGCCAAAAAATGAAGTGTTTAATGTTATCTAGGTACCCCCATTCAGACCCTCGAGAAGGAACTGAGAGAGGCTTGTCCTTTTCCGTCTTCCTCCTTGCGCGTTAGCCTCGCACGCTCGCTCACACGTGCAACATTCTCATTACGCGCGACAATCCTTAGAGACTGCAAGTAGTCAATGCTCCCTATTACCATTCTCATCATTATTTTATGTCTTCATCGCCGCTCGACAGATCTTTGGCTAGACTTTGTAAAAAGCCTGTTTTGGTTGGTTCCCCCGTCTGAGGGAAGACGGGCAAGTGCAGTCTCGGGAGAGAACCCAAGACACGAGCGGTCACTATAACAGTTAACCGAAACAGGAAGCCGCATATGAAAAGTCTCTGACACCCAAGGGTCATCATCACTATCTTTGATCGTCATTGTCATCATCACTTCCATAGCTAAAACTTCACTTTTTGGGCTATGAACAGTTAAACACCACAAGATAATTCACAAACCATTGCCGTGATTAATTTATTCCAGTGAAATTCGCCCCACCTGTGTACCTTTATACGTCCAACCTGCTCTTATTTTTAAATCATTTGGATGCTGTATGTGATCTGAGTTACACAACTCACAGACCCTCATATCAATTGCTGGACCAATGTTGATTGCCACGCACTCTCTCCGGTAAGACATTCCGTTTTCGCAAGATTTGCTTGCTCAATGGAAAGGTTTAAAGGTGTGTATTTTGAAGATACATATAAAAGGCCATACTCCTGATCAAAAATCTTAAATACCGAATGGGCCAGCAGATATCTAAAAGATACATTAAAAAAAACTTAATGTTAACGTCTATTTTGTTTTATTTATTATTCCACCACTAATTTCACCCACGTTAATTCAGAGAACACGTTAAAAACATCAATGCAGTCTTTCGTTCTCCCACGCTCCTCGACCGTGATTGTTTATAAATGAATAACCGATCCTTTGCAGACTGCTTGCTGGACAAAAACATAACACCACCACCAACAACAACAACAACAAGAACAGGTTACACTGAATGTTAAGCAGTTAGTTATGCAGTGAGTAAATTGTTGCATTTCAAAGGGCAAGCTTTGTCGTCTCCACGGCAAAGTCAAATTGATGAAGTCGCACACTCGTTTAATTATTGATTTAAGGTTCAGTATAAGAGAAAGAGCAAGAGAGGAAGAGCTGATAAGGCCCTTAAAACCATCTCGATCATTTCACCCCTTCTAAAATTCGACACCGAATTTTGAGGTAGATTTTTTTTTAAACAGTTTTTAATTTCCAGCTGATCAGATGTGGTTCTAGAAACACATCCCCCATCTCCCTTGGGCGGGCACAAAAATTGTAGGCTAATCTATGTCGCCGTACATGATCGTTTGTGTCGTAAGCACAACAACGCAGCTGCATTTTTCTTGTCACTTTTTTCCCTTTCCTAGTTGAATATCATGCATAAAAATACGCGTCTAAAATTGCACTAGTTATTGATTTTCTTCAAAGTTTGGTAATCTGTTAATTAACGTTTAAGGTGAGCCTCAGTGCAGTCTGGACCCAAAAGAATGTCTGATACTGATTCCAAGTACGTGGGAAAGGCTCAGTTGAGTCATTGATTGTCCTCAAAAGAGAAAGGTTTGCATGAATAACTAGAAGTACTGATGATTCATAAAAGTGCAAATAAAACTTTTCCTGTCATAGCTACGGCCGGTCTGTGTTTTTCTCTCATTAACCTTAGCTTAAGTTATGAACTTTTCAGATATCCGTTGTCGTTGTTCTATTTTAAGTTCTCAACAATTTTCTTTCCTTGTGGTTGTAACAAATTTAGGGGTATGTAGTCAAACATTTTGAACTAAACGATAATGACTTTTAAAAGTCATTTCAAAAAGACTTGTCCAGTGCCGTCAAAACCGTCTTCAAGAATTTTGTTCCTATTACATCGTAATCTAGCCCGCCTTGGCTTTTTCTTTTATAGTTTTTGTTTTTAGGGTAACGTAGTAGTATACTATATCCACAACTTCAGCCAAAAATCATGGGACCTGAATCGTTCATTTTGCTTAGCACAGAGTCAGGTGTAGTCCTCTCCCATGTTGAGTTTCAACTTCTTTCCGAATGGGAGGAAGCGAGGGTTATAAAATATTACACCTAGTAGCAAAACAAGAATGAAGGTGAATGTATAAGATGTGTGCATATATTAACAGTTGGCTTTAGTCATACCTTGATTTGCACTAGCAATGCAGCTTAGCCAAGCTCCCCAGAAGAGGCAGGTCAAGAAGAGTGCTTGAACGGACAAGCAACAGCCAGCCATGCCGGATGAATTTGCCAGAATGCTACCTTAATCGACTTTCGTCTTAATTTTAAGCTGAGATCACGGTCACGAACTAATAGCCTACTCAGTTCAGTTTGACACGTTCTGTTATCAGTTGTCGTGTTAATTAATTTTCCAAGTTAACAACAATAGCCAGCAAAATTAAAGCCCGCACGTTATTTTTTTTACTTCCCTTCACTTTCAGTTTTATTTATTAACTCTAATTGCCTTCAATGCAGCTAGCCACTATTTGCGTTAAATTTCTTAACATCTGCCAAAACGGCCGTGCGTTTTGAAGCTTTCTTGTTAAATATCTCCCGAAAAAACTGAGAATTAAAAAATATTTTTTAAAAAACAATTTATCA